AAATACTGAATTGTATTACAAAGCTACTATAATAAAAAACCGTTTTCCTGGCATAAGAAAAGATAGTGAAAAGGGATCATTAAAACATAATCAAGATTTCATGGGGCGCCTGGGTGGCTCAGTCAGTTGAGCGTCCAACTCTTGATTTCAGTTTGGGTCATGATCTCTGGTTAGTGGGAATGAGCCCTGCATCTGGCTGCCTGCTCAGCAGGGAGTCTGCTTGGGATTTTCTGTCTCCATCTCCCACTACTCCTCCCCCTGGCACTCTCTCTCTTTCTCTCAAATAAATAAATGTTAAAAAAAAACATAATTAATCAAAAACTAATGATGTAATGTATGGTGGTTAACATAACAATAAAAAATTATTAAAAAAAATTTATACTAAACAAGTATAAAAAAAACATAATTAAGATTTCAGACAAATCCTTGTGAGAAATTGTTACATGCTAAAGGTAGCCTTTCATATGAGTGGAGGAAAAAAATGGGTGCTAAATAAATAATATTGGGACAATTGATTATCAATTTGGAATAAATAAAACAACAAAGCTAGATCTTGACCTCAACTGTTACACCAAAATAAATTCCAGAGAGGTCAAAGATTTAATGCAACAATAAAATGTTGAAAGTATTGTACAAAGATACAGATATATTGTCATTGTTTTAAATAATCTAGTGGTGAGTAAGATCTTTCTAAACATAACCAAAAAAGAAAAAGGAAAAGAGTGATAAATGTAACTGTGTTGAAACAAATTTTCATGCCCAAAAAAGTAATAGAAAAGAACAAAGTGGGAAAATATTTGCAACACATATAACAAAAGAACTTCCTTAGTGTACAAAGGACTTTAATAAATCAATAAAAGAAAGATGAAAAGGTGAGCACCACACCAGAAAACTGGACAAAGAATTTGAACACAATTCAACACAAATATGGAAATACATTAAAAAAAATTCTTATTGTGGAGAATTTTAAACATATAGAAAAGCAGAGAGATTGGTGCATTAGACAATCCCCCCACCCTGCACCCATTCCCAGCTATAACAGTTATCAAGGCAGTAAGTCATGGCCACTCTTGTGTGTTAAACACACACACACACACACACACACACACACTCTTCCAACCTACCCATCCCTACACTGCATCATTATGAAGCAAGTCATTTTATCTGTAAATGTATCAGAGAGCATATATGATTAGAAAATGCTGTTTTTCCTATTATAGTGCCAAAGATCAATTATTTTTTTAAAAAGGATTTTATTTATTTGTCAGAGAGAGCACGTGTGGGCACAAGCAGGGGAAGTGGCAGGCAGAGGGAGAAGCAGGCTCCCTGCAGAGCAAGGAACCAGATTCGGGGCTCCATCCCAGATGCTTAACTGACTGAGCCACCCAGGTGTCCTGAAGATCAATTAATTGGTATTAATTGAGCCAAGGGTCTTGAAAAAGGGAGAAAACTGAAAAGATGTAGCTCACGCCTGATACTCTTTGAAGGGGGAAAAAGGGAGTTTTGACTGTTTTCAGCTTTCAGCCACAACCACTTGAATACTGAATCTAGTGCAAGAGCACAGGAGGTGTGGCGCCTGGGTGGCTCAGTTGGTTAAGCGTCTGCCTTCAGCTCGGGTCATGATCCCGGGGTCCTGGGACCGAGCCCCACGTCGGGTTCCCTGCTCAGTGAGGAGTCTGTTTCTCCCTCTCCCTCTGCCCCTCCACCCCGCTCATTCTCTCTCTGTCTCTCTCTCAAAAAAAAAAAAAAAAAAAAAAAAAACGCACAGGAGGCATTCTTGGACAAAGCTGTTCAGGAGAAGACTTGGGTTGAACAGGAGTAGGGAAAGGAGTTAGAAATCAATTCTTTCTAAGGGCATTATCCGTGTTCCAAGTATTCACAGTCTGGGGGATGTTGGTGTTAGCCCGTAAACTTCTTGAGGACAGGCACCTCATCTTCTGCGCAAAAGCCTTACAGTGTATCTGCCCATAGGTAATCAACAACCGTGAAGAGCTACTTCGATGGACATACCCTCCCTCACCAGGCTGATGGACATTGACATCATCAGTCCAGAAACTCTGTGTGACTTCATATGAATAAAACGAATAGCAGCTATTGAGGAAGGGCTGGGTCTGCAGAGTTCCCAGGCACATGCAGACAGGTATGCTGCCTGATATGGAGAACAGGTTTCCTGCCCAGAAACTGCCTGAGTCACTTCTTTCACGTGATCAGCACTGTTGGTGCTTTGCCTTCCTTGTAATTACACTGCAGGTCAGGGAGGGAGCTGGTGACTCAACAAGCTGGGACCAGGCTTCTGGGTGGACTTGAGTGGCTGTGCAGGGCATGCTGTGAGGACTTTCAGATTAGGCATTTCCTTTAAGATGGTTTGAATGAAATGGACTTGGTCCTGAATGGGCTGGACAAGAGACTCGCTGAGCCTGAAACCACAAATGTCACTTAACAGCCAACTATATTTCTTAATCTCCATAACCCCTGATCATGAGCAAGGTGACTTCATTCTCTTCAACAAACCTTGGCTATGGAAGCACATACTCTGTAGGTATATGCGGGGAGTAAGGGCACAGGGGGTTACAAAAAGGAATATGGTGAAGTCTTTGGCCTTGGTGATTTTACAATCTAGGAAGGATGGACGCTGTGTGAATGAGGCTAACACTTTTTGAGTCTCTGCAGTGCTCCAGGCACTGTATTAGGGACTTAACGTGCATTATGCAAGGACAATTCAAGGTCAAAAGTGCTATAAGAGTTCAGAAATGTTTTGAAGCTATCTTGAGGAACTAACATTGGAACTAGCACTTGAAGAATAGGTATGATTTCAACCAGGTTGAACTGGTGAAAGCAATTGTGGGAGCGAGGATGTATTAATCAAAGCCCAAATAGGTGCTGGGCTTCTGGAATGGGACATATGCTATCTGGCTCAGTACACTGGTTTTCTAAAACCTAACACTGTTGCAATAGCCTCCTACTTGATCTTCCCACCTCCTCTCTCTTCCTGGTGCATTCTACAAACAACTGTGAGATCCATTTTCATAAAACCAATATTGGATTAAATCAGGACCCTACTTATCTACTTTCTTTTAAAAGGAAGAAAGTTAGGAGGGAGAGGAAGACGGGCAGGATAAAGGGAGGGGGGAAACTTTCAATGAATACTTAATCCCCATAGAAGAAAGTCCAAACTCCTTACCATCCAAAGCTTTGAGGACCTGGCAGTGCCCATCGGCGCATTTTTAGCTTCTGCTCCTGCCACTCCTTCCCCCAGAGCTCCTCCTGCTTCCTACATTCTAGCCATCCCTCACACATGGCAGATATTTACTCTCCTGTGCCTTTATTCATGCTTTGTCTTCTGGCTGAAATGGCCTAGATTCTGTCAAAATCAGTTTAAGATTTTAAGATTTAGTTTAACAGACACTTTGCCCATGAAATTCCTAGCCACTCATTCCAAATTAAAGGGGTCTCTCCTCCGTGGCCTTGTGGTGCAGTCTGCCTCAGTTCTACCATTTGTCACTGTTTATCTTCTAATATTCAATCTGGAGTCAGGTGACCTGGGATCAAACTCCAACTTTGCCACTTAAAAGCTGCATGGATTGGGGAACATCTATGTCTCTGAGGCTTAGCTTTCCTCATATGGGATACTTAAGATCGACTTCACAGAATAAGGAAATAATATATGTGGAAGTACTTTATAAATCTTCACACATGTAACATTTTTAGATTTACATTTTTAAACATGTAAAAGGTAACAAGTTTCTATCCCACTAGAATGTAAGCTCCCAAAGAGCAGGATTAAAAAAAAAAAAAAAAACTTTCATTTTAAAATTATAGATACAAGAGTTGCAAAGATATAGAGAATTCCCACATACTCTTTACCCGATTTTCCCTGCTGTTAACATCTTATCTTGTATATTTATCAAAGCTAAGAAATTTGTATCAGTATAATACTATTAGAACTGAGTAGTTGACAATACCTAGTAAGAAGGGGGCGGGAGGTATGTTAACCATTTAGGAGACACCAGATGATTGGAAAGAATTAGGGACTGAGTGCAAAATAAAATGAAAGGAATGATTAAATATCTATTTCACTTTCCTTTAGGAAGTGTAACTCTGAAAGGAAGAAGAAGGAGAGGATTTTGGCAGCAAACAATAGAAACAGCTGAGGAAAGGTCTTATTTTAGTTCTGCGACTAATCCCTGACACGTGATCTCACAATAAAGCACTTAACCTCTCAAGTCATTAACCTTCTTTAGAAACGGTATTAAAAGATAGCTGGTCTACCAGTTTCACAAGACTTGTGTTCAGGAGCCTGCTTCTCAGCAAAAACGTCAGCTCCTCGAGGGCAGCTGCTATACATACCTTTTATTAACATGCTCAGGGCCTCATAGAGCCATGACAATCGTTCGAAAAGTGCTTGTTGAATGGAGTGTAAAGTGTTGAGTAATGAGCCCCGAAGCCTACTGAGATCTTATTGTTCACCTAACACTCTGCTATGGCACGTTACTAGCATTCTTCACAATCCTGAGGTAGGTACTATAATTACCCCCCATCTGGCACAGGCACGGGCCCAAGTCCCCAACTGATGGGTCTTGGAAACGGGATGACTTTTTTTCACTCAAAAGCCATCCAGCTACAGAGCACGCTCCATGACGTGGAGTGGGAGGGGTCAGAACCAATAATTCATCTCAAGTATAAGACATTTGGAAAAAGAAGGGAACAGATCTCGACCCCAGGTGTCCTCTCTGCCCCTAGGCCAGAGCCGCAGTGCGCTCATGCTCAGCTTCACCGCCACAAACCCAGGGAGGGCTTCAGAGATGTCGCTACAGGCCTCGCGAGATCCCGGGGCTAAGGCGAGACCCGGATGGCTGGAGCCTGGGTAGCGCGCGTGCTGATGACAAAAGCGGAAGTGCTGGGGCCAGAGGCGGGGCGAGAGCCCGGAGGGGCTTAGGATTGCGGAAGTTTTGTGAGAAGGGTCGGGCGGCTCTTGGAGCGCCGTTTGGTTTTGGAAGTTCCAGAGAGGAAGCTGCTGCTCGGGTCCGAGAGCCACCAGCCTGCGCACGTCTGGGGGCAACACCGGGCGCGATTCGACGTTGCCGCTGTTGGCTTCCTCTGCCCTCGTTCCTCCCCAGAGAATCGCCTCGGATCTCCGCCATGACATCCACCTCTTCCAACCTCCAGGTATCACTGTTCTCCCGCCCCCTGGAGAGCCGGAGCCTAGGGGCGGCGCGGGTTTGGGAGTGGGGGCCGAGGAGGAGGGAGGAAGCGGCCGCGCCCCTCGTGCGGGGCGGAGGAGGGCGGTGCTAGTGCCCAACCTGCAGGCGGGAGGGTCTTTCCTCCAGCTTCCGGTGTCTCCGGAGCCCACCGGCTATGTGGAAATCTTCACTTTGTTTGCGGTGGGTTTTTTTCCTCTTTTGAACCGAACTGCGCATAGCTTTGAACGAGAGGCCCAGACGCTCCAGTCGCTGTAAGAGAAAAGAACATAAGGTTTGCAAAGCACTGCCCTGAGCCAATTGAAGATAAGGTGGTCTTAGTTCTCCGTCTCAAGCTGGTATAGCAAAGCCTTTCTCTTTTAGCTGTCAGGTGTGTAGAACTATGAGGACAGTCTTGGAATTTGAGGGATCCGTGAATTCATTGAGCTGTGCATTCATGTGCTCCCAAAATGTATACAAAATCAGGGAGTAGTTTTAAGCTCCTTTGTGCTCCACCTTCCCACCCCTACCGCAGCGAGTACAGTGTTTTGTACATAAATCAGACTTCTAAACTTTTAGACATAATTGTTGGATGTCTATGGAATTCATTTGAGAAGAGAAATTTCTGAAATGATGCTTCCCATCCCTAGAATGGATCTGAGGTTTCAGAGGGGTTTAGGATGTGTCTTAACCTCGAGGACTCCCAGTCCCCCAGGTCAGTTTTGGGGAAAGATCGGCATAAAATATCTGTGTTGAATCCTTGTCTTGGTCTTGCAGTAGTTGATCAGACATTTATTGAGTGCCTGAGGCAAGCTCAAGGATAATGGAAGACCTGGGCAAACCAGGGTAATTGATCCTGAAGAACGACCGCTGAAAGTAGATCCATTTAAATAGAGCTCAAAAATTCACCAAAAAAAAAAGTTGGGGGAGGGAGGAGCTTTCCTGGGACTTTTACCTTGAAAATGGACCCAAACGATTGTATCAAAGTGAACGTTTTATATATCTCAAAACATCATTGCAACTGTGACTTAGAATCAAGAATAGGTCATATGTCGATTTTTGTATCTTTTCCAACAGGCTTGCATTTAGTAAGATATAATAAAGATATAATAATCTCCACTTAACATTGTTTATTTATTTATTTATTTATCTATTTTTTGTAGTCCCATTCAGAAAGGGTCTTTTTGGTAAATGTTCTTGGAAGAAGTATTGTCCCTTTGAATATCAAAGGCAATTTCTTTTGAAGTGCTGTCTTCATCCTTGTTGGTCAGTTAACTCGTTTTATCCCATTAACTTTTCATTTGTCAAGACCTTGCATGTAATTTGGACATTCTGCAACATAATTTTCATCCACTCACTGATACCTTTTTTCTTTTGTAATAACTGCACTTTCATTCTGTACTCCGTTTGCATCATATTTGAATTGGAGCAGGTGTTCCTCAATGAATCAGAGATTGACACATATTAAGGGCATGTTGCTGGTGTTAAACAGGGAGAGATGTTGAGTTATAATTTTATTGTGGTTGGGTCATAGGTGCCCTTTCTCATTCAACCTTTTTAACCTTCTAACCTAGGAAATTTGGATGAAGAATATTCAAATAACAATTTTCCCACCGAACAAGGGAAGACTCCCCGTAACCAGATGCTTATAATCTAATGGAGGAATGCAGATAATTAAAAATCAAAATTATAAGATAATACAGTAGTGCTATAATAGAAGTAGAGGTGAGTGCAGGAGGGCAGAAAGGAAGGGCTTATCTAACTCTTCAAGGATAAATGAAAAATGTTTCACAGAGATGATGTGAGCTTAGATAATGTGAAAGGTACTGACACTAATTGTCCACCTGGTATTTGGTGTGATCTTATTTAATCTTCAAAACAACTCTTCAGTATTACTCCAGTTTCACAGTGTAAGAAACCAAAGTGTATTAAAGTTGTGATTTTAATTAGTATTGAAGTTCGTTTTGAATCCAGGTTTATTTGCTTGTAAGTTTGTGCTTTCTTTCACTATGAAATTAGGCCTTTTTGGACAAGAAAATGGGATGCGTTTCAGGTAAAGACAAAGAATATATACCTCAGTCTAGAAGTGTAAAACCTTGAAGAGGGTTGGGAGAAATTGCAAGTAATGCAGTATGCATAGAACTCAAGTTTACTCCTTATCCTAAATATGCCATTCATTTTGCTAAGTCTTAGGGAATCATAAAAGCAATATATCACCCTTGATTTCCCAGGGCTTGTATTCTGATGCGAGAAGACATGTAAAGTGGCCGATGGGGATACTGTGTGATCTTTGGAAGTGTGCACCAGCAGCAGTGGAAATTTCGAGGGAGCATAGGCTAGGCCCCCTGGGGTGTCGGGGGCGGGGGGGCTTTGCAGCAGGAAGACCATGACTATGCTGATGCTTAGAGAAGCTGGAGTCTGACTGGAAGATAGTCAGGTAGTATATTCCAGGTAGAGAGTGCACCGTAAACGAAGGCCTGAGGTCTGAGTTGTCTGGGTTGTCCCTAGTTTGGTAGAACTGGGACTGAGTGTGTAAGGTGGGAGGACCGGCCTAGTTAGGCCATGGAGAGGTGTGTGCCACACAGAGATGATTGGTCTGTAGATGGAGAATCAGAAAGAAATCTGCCCGGGTTTTTATTGTAGAAGGAGACTATCATTTGTGTGCAGGGGACAACTTGATTGGTAGCAGGCCTGGAAATAGGGAGACCAGTTGGGAAGGCAGGGTTCTGTGTGATGGGAGATGGTGAGGGCCAAAGTAGTGTAGTACCTGTTAAAGAAGAAGAGAGGATTGATCAGAGACAGATTGAAGAGGAAGCACGGTCAGGCCTGGCTCTGCACTTAGAAGGAGAGCGCAGGAGGAGTCTGGCTTTTCTCCCAGATCCCTGGGTTGCATGGGGAGGAACTAGTTCTGGGATTACAAGAAGAGGGGCATATTTGGGGGCAGGTGTTCTGGAACATTTGAGCTTGAAATGCGTTGTGGGGACAACCAAGTGGAAATGTTCAATGAGTGGTTGGATACATATGCATAGAACTAGAGAGAGGGGGCCAGGCTGGAAACGAGGGTTTGAGAGTTAATAGTGTACAGATGGTAGCAGAGGTTGTGGGCATCCTGGAGAGTTCATAGAATGAGGAAAAACAAGGAACAGGTAGAAACTCTGGAAGAGTGGCATTTAAGGAGAGAGAAAAGGGAGTCTGAAAAAGAATCATTAATATAATCCAGAGTAAAACCAGGAGAGGATGGTGCCAAGGAGGCTAACGGAGGAGGAGGCCATGTCCAGATGTCTGTTAGGAGGATTAAATGCCGTGGAGAGAGAGTTAGGTAAGTGTGAGACCTGGTAGTCAGCAGGAAGCATTGCCGTGGAAGAATCAAGGAACCGTGATGAACTTGGAGTTCTTTTTGGGATTTTGCTATGGAGCTGAAAAGATGAGTAAGGTAGTTACTAGAGAGGAACCTAGGAACTGGGGAGAGCCGGTGTGTTTTAGTTTGTGTTTTGTAGATATGAGTTTGAAGTAGGACTTTACATACATGTTTATGCTGAGGAAGGCCCCAACAAAAAAGGGGGGGAGGGGGAAGGTTAGGTTGGGGAGAGCAGTAGAGTGGCATGTAATTGATAGGGTGAATGTCAGAGAAGGAAGGTGGGGATGGTCTCCAGAGCATAGGGAAAAGACATAGCATTGACAGGAAAATATCCAGTGGAGAAAAATGGTTAGAGATTATAGAGGTAAAATAACCAAAAGGAAGATTTTGAGAAAGCAGTTGGGGATTTTTTTCATTTGTTCAACAATTTTATTAAGTACCCAGTGTGTGCCAGGCACTGTTCCAGGCTCTGGGGATAGCACAGTGCTGCAGTTGAAGTCCCTGTGCTCATGGAGCTCACGTTTATATGTAAGGAGATAGGCAATGCGTGAGTGTCTACAGATAAATATAACGATAAGCACAATGATGGGATGGGGGTGAGAGAACTGAAGGCAGGGACGGAGGGAGTACAGCCTCTGAAATCGATTAGGGAGGGCCTTTCTGAGTACTTGGCATTTGCTCTGTGGCTGAAAAGGAGACTGTCATGCACCTATGCGGGGGGGAAGAGCATTCTAGGCAGAGGGATCAACAGTGCACAGGCTGCCTGCGTGAAGGTGGACTAACGGGTTTGAGATGCAACCCAGAAGGAGCCAGGGCAGGGTCACTGAAGGCCTTGTAGACCATGACCATGACCCAGCAGTGGAAATCCATCAAAGGGACCGGCCCTTCACTGGTTGCCATAAGGACTTGAGGGTGTTGAGTGCGGCAGCAGGCTGACCACTTAGGAGGCCCAGTGGTAGTTTTGACCCGTGTATTAGTGGATTGAGCTAGGGTAGGAGCAGTGGAAGCGGTCGGGACTAAGAACAGTTGGCACTCCAGAGCCCTGCAAGACAGAGTTAATTTCATTTCAGATGAAAAATGCTGACAGAAACAAGGGTGAAGTGGGATATTCAGCAAGGGAAAAACAGATGCATATTCTCAAATCATCATGTTTGATTAAAGGTTTAACATGTGCTGTCTAGTACAGTAGCTACAAGTAGCTGTTTAAATTTGAATTTTACTCAAGATTTAAAAGTCCTCAGTCACGCTAGCCACAGGTGCTCAGAAGCCGATTATAGATAGTGGCTTGCATTTTAGTGCAAATACAGTCATGACCATCAGAGAAAGGCTGGTTTAAAGTCATTAGTACCATATTTGGCGCTAGGTGATTAGATACTGACTGTAAGAGTTTTCCTTTCACCATCATTATGGTGCCCAAAAGAGGACTAACTGCCAGTGAGGGGAGTGTGTAGCTGGAGAGGTGAGTGGCACAGCAATTCAAAATAATAGAAGAAAACTGTAGCTAGAGTAAGAAAGAACTTATTTCCTCTGCATGGCGTAGCCACGGAGTCTTCTGCATCCATTTTTAAATGACCAGGTGCACCAAACCCCCAGATGACCATGTGTATGAGTGCTGCGACTCCACCCTTTAT